TTGAATTTTGAGGTAAACATTTTTCCAGTTTTACCATTTATGTGTGTATTATTTTGTTTTTCAGGTTTAATAAAAATGACATCATGTTTATGCAGCACTTTGCAATTTCTTTCATTGTTACTAAGACTGAACCATATTATTTCATGGTTGCTACAGTTTATGCATTTCAATGCTATAAAATGTTCTCTTGCATAAATGTACCCCATTAGAATCATTTTCTTGCTCATGGAAATCTGAGCTATTTCAGTGTTTTGCTACTGCAATGTTGCTAGCAATATTTGTTCAATTTCACCTGTGTACAAATGCAAAAGTGTCTCTAGGTAAATAGTGAGGTGGAAAGGGTTGGCTAGGTTGTAGACAATTTATGAACAACTTTATAATACTAAGTTTTTCATCCAAATTAGTTATTAAATTGACAAGTCTTACTACCAGTGCATGAAAATTTCTACTGATCCACATCCACAAGGATACTCTGTCAGACTTCTTAAATTTTTGCCAATCTCATAAGAGAAAAATGTAGTTTTCATCTACATTTCCCTAATTACTAATGAGGCTGAGCATCTTTCCACATGCTTAATTGCCATTTGTATTTCTTCTAAATTACCTTTTTTTGGTGGTGTTGGAGTTTGAACTCAGGGCCTGGTGCTTGCTAGGCAGGTACTCTACCACTTGAGCCACGCCTCCAGCCTTTTTTGCTTTAGCTATTATTCAATTAGGGTCTTGTGCTTTTGCTAGGGCTGGCCTCAGCCTATGATCCTCTTACTTAATACTGTCAGTGTAGCTGGAAACTCAGGCATGTATCACCACACCCAGCTTTCTTGCTGAAATGGAGGTTTTGCTAACTTTTTGTCCAGGCTGGCCTAGAACTATGATCTTCCCAACTTCTTTCTTCAGAGTCACTAGGACTGTAGGTCTGGCCTGAATTATCAATCCATGTCATTTGCCCTATTTCCACTGGGATGATTCTTTGTTATTGACTGCAGCCATTCTTTACATGTCGTAGAATGCTTTGGTACTGTAATGCTTTGAAATTTTCAATTCTTAGCATTTGATGTCTATTCCCTTTATGAACAGAAGTTCTTCATTTTTAACAATGTCAAGTTTATCCTTATATTTTGTAATTAGCACTTTTTGTATTTTGTTTAAGAAATACATCTCTAGCCATAGGTTACAAACCATATATAAACTTCTGAAGCTTTAAAGTTTAGTCTTTTAAGAACTTAATGCACTACGAACTGTTTTTCAGTGCGTTTTGAGCAAGAGATTTAGTTTTACCTTTTCCCACATGGCTAGCTTGTGTTTCAGCACCAAGTGCTGAAGGCCTGCCTTCTGACGCTTCTCAGTTTGGTTCCAGGAACATTTTAGTAGTGCTTACTTTGTCCCAGCCTTCTGGTAGAGGAACAAAATAAAATCCTTATACTCTAGTATAATCTCTTCCATCTATTTAGTCAATAATTAGTTATTTTGGAGCATTTGAAACAGGACTACAAATTAACTGATACTCCCCAGACTGGTATCTCTTAAATCTGGGCACACTGTAGCGAATGGCCATCTGTACTAGTCAGCTTTTTGTCATCTGAAATAATCAAGTTACAGGGAATAAAGGCTTACTATTTCAGAGGTTTCAATCTGTGCTTAGTTAGCTGTGCTGCTTTTTGAGCCTGTGGCACAGAAGCTTATAGTGGGAAGCATACGGAAAGAAAGCTGCTTATCTCCTGGAGTCTGGCAGGCAAAGAGAAAGACCGGAAGGTCCTGGGGTCTCAATATATTCTCTTCAGGGGCACACCTCCAGTGACCTAACCTCCTTCCGCTAGGCCCCACCTCCTAAAGGTTCCACCACTTTCGAACAGCACCACAGGTTGGGGACTGTGCCTTCAACACACTTTGGGGGCATTTAAGAGCCAAATGTAGCATTATTCATTACAATTATGACAGTCATGCTATGTGACTTCTGAGACAGGTCATAAAATGAAAACAGGTTCAGTACAGTTTGATGGAGCACTTACATTGGAGTTCTTAGTCTCCAGCAAAGAAGTCCTACCACCCTGATGCTACCATGCTGTAAAGGATCCCCAATGAACCACACAAAGAGGCCACGTGGAGATGTCTAGTGCAATGGACTGGACTACAACCTCTTAAATCCATTTGCTGAAGCCCTAAATCCCAATGGGACCGTATTTGGAGATAGGGGGAGGTAATTTAGGTTAAATAAGGTCAAAAAGGGTGCGGTCCTAATCAAAAGGGACTGGTGGACTGACAGTAAGAGGAACAAGTATGTACCCTCCCCCAGGATCTACCACGGAAGAGCGATGGGGGCACAGTGGAAGAGGCAGTCTGGAAGCCAGGTGCTCTCATCAAGACCTGATAATGCTGGCACGCTCACCTCACACTGCCAGGCTCCAGGACCGTGAAAAAACAAATTCCTGTTGTTTAAGCCACTTAATCTATGGTATTTTGTTATGACAGCCCACACTGACCAGGATATCCTGAGACGAGAGAGACAGAGAGACAGACATGGGTAGCCATGGGCTGCTTCAACCCAAGCCATCCATGCTCGTCATACAAGTGAGACCCCCAAGTCAGAACTGCCCAATTGAACTTCTTCCTGTGAAGTGTAATTTCATACTTCTACTCATTCAGGGCTAATGACAGGAGAGCGAGAGTAACATTTTATATCCAACCTGGATAGTACATTTGGTTACTGTCTACCCTGGTGGCATCCTGGGGATGCACTGTCATTCGGAGTACCCTCGTTTTAGTAGAGTATGCCTGAAATTGCTGACTTCATATTAATTTCTTATTTATCCAGCTTAATGAAGGCTTTATGTGTTGCATCATGGTTGTCCTATCTCCTTTGCAGAATTAGTAAGAGAAAAACAAATACTTAAGAGAAGACCTGATTTTTTCTTTTAGGAATGAATGGGATGAGATTTACAATTTATTAAAGTGATCCTAGCAGAAAACTGATATTATAATTCAAGATTTTGAAAAACATTGCCTGAGTAAACATGACTATCTCTCAAGGAAGGTGTTTAAAAGTAACTAAATTCACCTTAGTTTCAATGTGAAAACAAACATAATAGTTAATTTTCATTATTCTGATACAGCCTTAGAGGATCATAAAAGTGTTCCACAATAACCCACAATGGAGCAATGCATGAGAGTAATTGCTCCATTGGAAAGAATAAAAATTATGGAGCCAACTCTGAAGCTACCTTAAATTATTACAATGAAGTCCTTAAATGAACCATCCCAAATATAGACACAAATCTGATGAATGCCCTGGTATCTCTATCAGGTCACTGGGGTGTGCCAGGCTACTCTATACATAGCAAGCTGTGACCAAATTTAATGAGATGAGTCACACATGTGCCCCAAATTTAAAAGTATGATAAGGGAATCTAAAGTGACAAACCTTCCATCAATTCCATTTAATTCTACATTAAGGTAGAATCATAAGGAAAACATCATTCTAAATGAGAATTCAGAAGTCATGATGGAGGGCTTGGGGTATAGCTCAGTGGGAGGGCACTTACCTACCATGTATGAGATCCTGAGTTTGATTCCCAGTATAAACAAACAAACAAACAAACAAAAAAAGTCATGATGAAAATAGGGTTAATCAAAGGAAACTGGAAATTCTAGGAAAAAATTCTAAGGTACATGTAAAATATACAGCTACAAAGAAAATGAGAGGCCAGGCCTGTGACTCATGCCTATAATCCTAGCTATTCAGGAGGCAGAGATTGGGAGGATCAGAGCAAAAAGTCAGTGAGACTCCCATCAATCAATAAAAGTTGGGTGTGCTTGTGCACCTGTCATCTGCCAAGAGGAAAGCATAAATAGGATCCTGGTCCAGGCTGGTGTGGGCATAAATGTGAGCCACAACTCGATGAATAGCTAAAGCAAAAAGAGCTGGGGGCCTGGCTGAAGTTGTAGAGTGCCTGCCTAGCCAATATAAGGCACTGAGTTCAACCCTAATACCAGAATATGACAGAGAGAGAGAGAGAGAGAGAGAGAGAGAGAGAGAGAGAGAGAGAGAATGTAGCTAATAAGGAAGAACATCATAAACTCATTTTCATTTAAAGGATTTTCCAATATGAGAAAATAAGCAGCATGTTCATCTTAAGCATTAAAATTAAGTCCTGATTATATATTCTTCAATGAGCTGCAAATTAAAAAAGCAGTTTTATTTAAACTGTTTTATTTCAACTCTTGTCATAAAAAGAAACAAAGGAACAATACTGTGTATGTGTGATTTTGCAGAGAAAGCATGCACAATGAAATAAAAAATGCCGACTGTAAAACATCAGTTGTTTTCTAAACCAATCGCTAAAGGGAAGTAAAAACTTAAAAGCAAAGAGTTGATGAAAATGCTAGGAGGAAAATCAGCATTGGTGAGAAAAAGGTGAAAGGCACTCAGGACAGACCCACCTACAACACTCATTATCCATAATTTCTGTGAGTCCTGAAAAATGTAAGGATGACAGACAGAACGACTCCAGTGTGCAGTGGCAACACGATGTCATCAGCATTTAGGCCGAAACTACAAGATACAAGTCAATTCCATTGCTTCTAACTGATTTGGCCTAATATAAACCTGAAATACTTTGAAACGTCAAAGAGGTTTTTACATTCAACTCTCAGGTTCACAATGGCTAAAAAGCCTCAGATTTACAGGTATGCACCCTTCTATACTTGGTCTTTAATTTTAAGTGAATGGAATTAGCAATTCAACATGAACCTAAGTGATGTAATATTATGTGCAACGCTGATCGTTACAATCACTAAAAACAAAATCTAGGAAAATTCCAATGCTTTCTACTCTGGGTTAAAGGTTTTACCTTTTCCCCTCTGCATTCTGGGAATGGAACCCAAGAGCCTTGTTCATGTAAAGCATGTGTGTGCTCTACCACTGAGCTCTAGCCCAGCCCCCAGGTTCTTACTTTTTTGTTGTAGGATTTTTTTTTCCTATTAGAGAGATTTATAAGGTCATTTACCTGTAAATGAACGATTCTCTGAAATATATCTTCTCTCATGCTCATCTCAATATCAAAACGAGAAAGTCTTTTGTCTGCTTCTGTACTTGCTGCCCGTACTTCTTTGTCAGAGGACACATGCTGAGGAAAGTCCAGCATGGTTCTTTCCACTGTTGATAGAGGAAGAAAACTATAAACACCACAGGACTTGTCAAATCCGTATTCAGCCAGATACCTCTTTCCTGGATGAATGATTATGCTGATGTAAGTTCTTCATTCCGTACTTTCTGCAGTCTCTCCTAAGACTCTCCAGAGGCTGGCGCCTCTTGCATCTGATGAAGCCTTGGCTGTCTCACCTGGCATCATGATGAACAGTGATGTGCACTGAGCACTCATCAAAGCACATTTAGGGCAGCTGGGTGTGGCAGTGCACACACTATCATCTCAGCACTCAGGAAGTAGAGGCAGGGGTACTATGAGTTTCACAACAACCTGGGCTACATAGCAAGTGCAAGGTCAGACTGAGCTACATAGGTCAGACCTTGTCTCAAAAAGACCCCAAAACTACATTTAAGTATTACTTGTTTCAGAAATACTATGATTTGAACTCAGGGCCTTTGCCTGTCAGGCAGACACTCTACCACTTGAGCCCCAGCCCTAGCCCTTTTTTCCTTAAGTTGTTTTTCAGATAGGGTCTCATGTTTTTGCCCAGGGTAGCCTGAGACCTCAATCCACCTACCTATGACCTTCCACGCAGCTGGGAACATAGGCAAGTGCTACCACGCCTGGCTTATTGATTGAGATGGGGTCTTGCTAACATTTTTCCTTGAATTGCCATCCTCTTGATCTCTGTCTCTTGAGTAGTTTTGGATTATAGGTGAGAGCCAACATACCTGGCTTAGGGTATTATTTATTAACCAGGAATATGTGAAGATAAAGACATACAGAGTTCCTGTACTGAAGCATCTGATGATCTGGGAGAGAGGCAACTGGTACATAAAATAGAGGGCAGAGCCCATTGGTTGTCCATGAGGCGGAGAGTAACTCAGAGAAAGCAGCTCTCCAGGGCTGGGGCTGGAGGTGATGTGCTATGGAGAAGGTCAGACCTTAGAGGAGAAGGGGCACAGCATGGGGTTGCAGTCTGTACTGCAAGCCTGAGTCCTGGCAGACAAAGGATGCTTAAGAAACAAACATCAGTTTAGTAGGATGGCGTCTATTCAGAATAGAACTTCTTACCCCACCTCCCCCTCCCTCAGACTGCTCACAGAATCTACTCCAAGTTAAGGTTCATGCTCCAAATGCCCACGTCAAAGAAACACACAATATTCTACATAATTCTCAGAAATCTAAGTGACGTAGACAGTAAGCAGCTAAATGTGGGGGTATTCCTGTTACCTGATGATGGTTGGCTCTAACCTTTACCTATTAAAATTAGTTCCTGGGCTCTTCATTTATTTGTATTTTGACTTTAATTGGTCAAAAATCTCTTATATGAATGAAATAATCAATACTAGACAATAAAATGAATGTGGTTTGCAGTGATGGCTATGGCTGTGCCGTGACAATTTTATTTTTTATTTTACTATCTTCAGTATTTCGAAGGTGCTTTGAAACAAGTGAAATTTATACATGTGATACAGTGAAGGAAGGATAGAGAGTAGAGTTCTCCATTTTTCCACCAAGAAATGGTACAGTGAAGCAAGCTGCTGGCTTATATCAGTCCTCAAAACATGGTTACAGTTACAAAAAAAAAATCTGTCAGATATATTAGAATAAATCCATACTGTGGATTTTTAAAATATTGAGCTATGTAATAAAAATTTTAGGGCTTAATTTAACATATAATTTTATGCTGTTGATGAAGGGAAAATGGAATAGAAATTTTAATACATATAACACTTGTTTAAATTAACTGCACAGTTGCATTTTGTTTACTTTTAAAAATTATCTCAAGGGCTAGTGATGTAGTTCAGTGGTAAAGTGCTTCCCTATCATGTGCAAGATCCTGGGTTCCATCCCCAGTCCTATAAAAAAAAAGTGTCTAAAATTACCTAAAAAAGATCCTAAGAAGAATCAAAATCCATCAAGAACTCAAGTGAGTAACATAAAACACAGGAGCCTAAAACTGGAAACATATTCTTAAACAATAATGCTGAAACCCATTTCCTTCCTTCCTTTGCCACAAAGACCTGGAACCAGACTGTGCTCTCCCTGCCAAGCTGTAAACAATGCTGATGCCCAGGACCTGACACTGGAGAAAGAGGCGTTAACAGCTATGGCAGGAGGCACAAGGAACTCCCAGACAAGCACAGATAAGAGGAACTAAGTTAAGAAATCTATTTCCAACCTCAAAAATTCTGACAATCCACAAAGAAAATTTATGGAACAGTAATGACAAATATCATACCTTAAAGTATGTTTAAAAGACTTGTTATTGGGAAAAAAAGAATTTAGATTATTTTTAAAAGAATTTTTAAGCCAGATATGGTGATGCATGCTTATTATAATCTCAGCACTCAGGAGGCCGAGGCAGGCTGATTAGGAGTTCAAGGCTAGTGTGGTCTCACGAAGGCAGGTGCTCTACCTCTTGAGCAGCTGTCAGCCCTCTCTTATGTTGGGTATTTTCAAGATAGGGTCTCTTGATCTATTTGCCCAAGTTGGCTTCAAATCACGATCCTCCTGATCCCCTCCTGAGTAGCTAGGATTCAGGTGTGAGCCACTGCTGCCTGGCCTGCTGACTTTTATATGAGTCAAATGCATTAGTTACTAGGCTCGCACACCACTCTGGCTTAAATGGCTGAGGAATAAGTAAGCACTTGAACCAAAGACACACAGGTGAGATGAAGTCACCTGCTGGAAAATGTCAGCTGAATTGGGAACTCCATCCTTCTGACTTTGAGAAGAACCAGATCTTTCTATTCAGGAGATTATGCTTAAGACTTGTAAGAAGATGAGTGAAGCAGTGGTGGTAGGGGTAAAGAAACAAATGCAGAGATAAGAGAAAATAGCCAAGTCTATACAATGGAAAAAGGGGAGGGAACTCTTGGTGATGTAGGATTCAAAGGACAAGATGATAACCAGGTGATCAGGACTGCTGGATTCTGACAGTCTCCCAAATTTTAGAACACATGCCAACGTTTATGATAGCCACCTAGTTTTAAAGCTATTTTCTATTCTCTTACAAAACGTGGATTCACAGCCAAGGTTGTTAAGTCACAATTATCCTAGAAAATATGTTCACTTCTCAGAGGCAACCAAAGGGTAATTTCATTCCTTATTAACTCAAAGGACGTAACACAATATGAAGATAATGTATGTTCAGTGAGGGAAACATGGAAAACAGAAATGCACAAGAAAAGTCAAAACCAAATGCAAATCCACACCCAAGACATTAATCACTGCAATGATTAATTTTATGTGTCAAGTTGGACAGTGGTTTTTGTTGCTGTTGTTGTTTTTGGTAGTAGTGGGGTTTGAGATTGTTTCTTGATGAGGCTAACATTTAAGTAGGTGAACATGGAGTAAAGCAGATTGCCCTTTATAAGTTGGGTAGCCTTATCCAATCAACTGAGGGCCTGAATAGAATAAAAAGGTCACCTTCCTCGAGCAAGAGCGAATTCTCCAGCAGACTCTCTCGGACTTCGTCTGCACAACTGGCTCTCCTAGGTCTTGGGCCTGCCGGCCACACTGCAAAGTCCGCCTGCCCTCCTTGATCCTGTGAGCCAGTTCCCTGTAAGAAATCTCTTTACCCTCACACGTGCATGCACGCACATGCCCCAAACTGGATGTGCTTCCCTGGGGTGCCCTGACAATAATAATGTAACTATTATTAAAATTTGTTTATTTTGTTCTAGTTTTTCTCTGTGTTCTCTTCTCCTTTGTAATTAAATACTACTTCTAACCATGGCTTCAATGATTACATAGTGCTACAGATGGTGGATGTTTCATAATTTATTTAGCCACTGAATTGTGACTGTAAACCCATAATTCTATATTGGCTGACATTTAGAGGTTTTTGATTCTTTGAAATGATTAAGGTAGCTATTTATATACAAATTTATAGAAGAATTGTGTTGTACCTGTTTATTTCCTGAAAATAAATTCTCAGATATGGAATTACTGGACTAGGACATAACCCTTTTAAGAGTTTTGACATATGTTGTCAAAATGCTGTCCACAAAGCAGTAATTTGGGCTGGAAGTGTGGCTCAAGTGGTAGACTGCCCATGTAGTGAGCAGGAAGCCCTGAGTTCAATCCCCAGGACCATCAAAAATAAATAAATACATAAAGTAATTTAAAAAAAGAAAGCAGTGTAACTGGAGTGTAATTTTACAGCACCTTTGCCAACATAATAAAATGTATGAACATTAGGTAATTTAATTCTAGCAACTAATCAACCATTATATAAAAATCAATCTCTTGGAGAACAGAAAGTTGCGAGACAAAGTGTACAATGGTCTTAGGTTCCACAAAATGGAATGTTGACATGCTCAGGCCTCCTACCCACCTATGTACTTCACTTCTACATCTGCCAGCACCTGCAAACAGTTCTCGTAAGTTACTTCCTCCACACCAAGCAGTCCCACAGTGTCATACACCTCCTTGGTCTGCGAGATGAGCTCCTCCGTTCTGGTTTTAATTTGCTCTGGTGAAAGATCCCATCTTAGAACATTTCTGCCAGCTGCAGTGTAGGAAGACATTGCCTGGAGGTGAGATGTCACTTCCCTTCCCAAAGTCATTCTGAAGAAAATCCGGGAACCACCAACTCTAAAACAAAGTAAAAAGAGAAAAAGAAAAAGAAATTAGGGATTTCTGTTGGTTCGAAGTCAAGATATAAATGGTATATTATAAAAGTTAAATTTTAGTTAAAATGGACTTTCAAAAAATCTGAGGAAATTCTCTCAGGTGAATGAATACATATGCCCCAAACTAAATACTCTTGTTTTTTTAGTTTTCTTGCATAATTACAGTTTTTATGGAATTTGTACTATCCAAACACTGAATAGTTTGTTTAATGAAATTAAACAGGAAAAATAAAGTTAGGTGTCAGAGACACAGTAATTGTCTTACTAGTAATATTTCCTATGCTAACTTTCACCTACTATGTACATAGATAAAGGCTCAAAAAAAACTTGCAGGTTTGGCAAGGAGACATTTAAACAAAAATTCTCCTTTTACACTGAACACTTAATTTTTCTCCCAAAAGCTCATGCAAATTAAGGATAACAATTTGAATTTATTTGTGGAAAATAATCTCTGGTATAACCATTAAATTATCATAAAAGATAAAAGAAAAACAAAATTGTAACGACACTAATTCTTTGTCCCCTTAAAAAAATCAAACATATATATATATATATGTATGTTCTATATAATCTTTTTGGGTTTATTAGGTTTGAAGTCAGGGCCTCATGCTTGCTAGGCAGACACTACCACGAGCCACACCCCCAGCCCTCAAATTAATAGAGACCGTGTTTATGCATATGTCTCTCTGTCCTTCTAGCTTTCTCCTCCCCCACCTTCTATCTTCCCAACCCTCTCTCCAGTTATAGACTTTATAAATTAAAAATGTTGTATTTACTAGCTAATATTTATGTAGTGGCTATTTAGGCACTGTTAAAATTCTTTCCATGTGGTAACTCATTCAATCCTTCAACAACTCTGAGTTACATACTGTGGTGATTTATTTTACTAAAGAGAAAATTGAAACAGTTAAACCACACCACAGCTAGTGGTATGGTGAGACTCAGGCAGTCCCAATCTAAAACCAAATTTCCTTTACTTTTAATTTTTATTAGGATATATTCATTGTACAGGGGGATTTGTTGTGACAATTCCTAATAGCCTTACATTGGTTAGCTAGCCCCCACCATTTCTCCCCCTCCACACCCTCCCCACACCACGTGAAGCAACTGCAGGAGGTTTGTTTTATTTCATGTAAGAATATGAAGTCTATCAACCATATTCCTTCACTTAATCTCCATCGTTCACCTTCTCCCTTACCACAAGTACCGCCACCCCACTGCACCTATTTTACAATCCTGTCTTTCATTGTTAATTCCAAAGTCAGTGTTCAAAGGGGTTTCTCGATGCATCCCGGCTGTGAGTATACTTTACTTTTAGAAAAACATTCTTAACACCTGTGCTCAATTCCATTTCTCTTATCCTATAAGGCCTGATAACAACTATCTGAGGTAGGCAGGGCATTATTCCCTTTTAACAGATGAGGCAATGGAGGCTCAGAGAGGCTAAATGGTTTGTTCAATGTTATTTGTCCAACAAAGATTTATGAGAAAGCACTACCTGTAGTCACTGTGAGAGGCACAGAGGATAAAATGGTAAACTTACGGAAACCTGCTATATTCTAGTATAGTGGAAAACACAATGATAGATAATCACGTTGCTTTTTTAGATGAGTGGTATGACAGGGGTAGGACCAAAGAAGGACACCCTTTCTGGCTTTGGGGTAGGGACAGTGTGTCAAGGACAATGTTATACAAGGAACAGTGAACAAATTAAAATACAAACAGTGTACAAGAACTACCCAAAGGCCGTAAGGAAAGAGAAGTAGGGACTAGCAAATGAAAAGCCTTGGGATTAATTTTATTGTCATTTTAAAATTATATTATTGCTGTGTTGGGGGTACATTGTTACATTTACAAAATTCTTGCAATATTTCATAGTTGAATTTATTGCCTCCATCATTCTTATCTCCTCTCTCCCCTTGAGACTCATTTTAAAAAATCAATCATATTCTTTTTTTTTTTTTTTTTAGTATGTTTTGTTTTCATAGTGCTGGGGATGGAATCCAAGGCCTCACCCATGTTAGGCTGGTGCTCTACCACTGACCTATACCAAGTCCTCAACCTTATTCTGAAGGTAATGGGAGAAGCATCAAAAGGTTTTACTTAGGTGACAGATGTGACAATACACAATACACAATATTTGTGTATTGTAGAGAAATCACAAAGTTTCTCTATTTATGACTTCTATAGATTAGTAAGGGATTCTAAACTAGAAACAGGAGAAACTGGAGTGATTTAAAAGAGATTCATGAGGTAGACTCAATAAGACTTGGTACAGAATGGCTGTAGGGGGTCAGAGGTGAGAATCAAGGATATCCAGGCTTTGTCTCAAAGCTAGATGGGTGGATGGTGGTAAACACAGAGTGAACAGGGGGCTCTGGGGGAAAAAAAAAAAGAGTCAATTTTGGACAGGTCAAGTTTGGAGTGGCTATGGCACATGTAGCTGGAATTCACTAATGCTAAATACTAATTATACTTGTAAGGATGGTTGAACTGACCCAAAAGGGTATACAAAGTGAGAAGAGAAAAACATCTAGGGTCTAACTCTATAATTCAGTGAGGCAGAAGGAAAACCAGCCCAAGATGGGTTCTAGGAACCAAGACAAAGGAAGAGTGTGTGTACAACAGAACCACACCATGCAGACCAAGAGAAAGACAGGAGAGTCTGAGTGGAAGACAGCAGTAGAAATGCCACTGATGACTCTGGCTGGACAGCAATGTCAAGGGAGTGAGAGAGTATGAGTCAGATTACTAGGATGGAGGGGTCAGAGGTGAAGAACTGGAGCAAATGCGCCTGTACAACTCTCTATAGAAACCAAGAGAGCTGAAGCAATGTAACTAGAAAGGGCTGAGGCACAGGTGAGACGTAAACACTGACCTCCTCAGCTGTGAAGACCCTCTCTTCTGGGAAACATACTGGTTGACGCTTGCACTCAATTTTCAAATTATTTTTACTTTTCTCCTTTCATCATCTGAGTTATGTACTATCCAAAGGTTAACTCTGTTTGTTCCCAAACCTGCTCAAGTCTGTTATAATTATGTAGGTATAGTTTAAACACTTAACTAAGCAAATGTATGCAAAATAAGGGATCTGTTGTTTCTGGGATGGATAAAAAGTTTTAGAAATACTTTAAAAAGTAAGTTATTTTTTAACCAGCAAAACAGTTCCTGCTAGGGGTTGGGTACTAGTAAGGGGTGGGGGAAAAGTGAATGGAGAGGGTAAAAGGGTGGGTATGATTGATGTACTTTACATACTTGTATAAAATTAGAACAATTAAACTGGTTGAAATCTGTTTTGGTGGTGGGGGTGCGGTGGGAGGGAGTGAAGGAAAATGATGGTGGGGTGAATTGAACCAAACAAGATACAATGGAAATGTTACAATGAAATCCCCCTGTATAACTAAAACATGCTAATAAAATGTTTAAAGAATCAATCAACAGAAACAATAAACTTGGGAAGACAGGGAAAAGAATTGTAGAAGTCTTCTAAATTCAGATTACTTATATATATGTGTTTAAATTTTTGTTTCACAGTTGAAATTGGAAATCAATGATGATGCATTTTACCTGTCGTTTATGCAATGAGGACAGTGAGAAATGCCAATTCAAGTCATTCATACGGAACAAAAGGGTTTAGGTCAAAAGATCTGGGGATATACGTTTATGCTTTAAATTAAGGAAAATTTTTTTTATGATTCTATTTGAAACCAGTTTTTAAATTAAAAGATACTATAGATGCAGGAATAAATGGGAGCAATTTGTCTTAGATAAGAAACTAGAGTCTTAGTAAAATCAAGAAAACAGGCAAAATGGGAGCAGTTAGGTGATAAAAATCTGAGATCTTTGAATTTTAAGAACTCAGAGGTTAAGCAGTGTGAAAAAATCTAGGGGATTTTCTTGGAAGTAGACAGTTGATATAAACAAGCTGAGGAGTACAAAGAACTGAGAGCATAGCTTGGATAAATCGTCTCCATGAACACTGGAGTCAGCAGTTTAATGGTTGGGGCCCTGAACTAGAAAGAAGACCAAACCAGGAATCAGACTGAAAAAATGAAGGGCCCAACCACAGGGCTGCAGGAGGACATCACACCCAAGGTATAGAACAGTAAAACGAGATTTTGAGCTTCAAAAGTGTTTCTTTTTTTTTTTTGGCAATACTGGGCTTGATCCTGCTAGGCACTTGAGCCACTTTGCCAGCTCTTTTTTGTGCTGGGTGTTTTCGAGATAGGGTCTTTTGAACTATTTGCCCTGGCTGGCCTCAAACCTCCTGGTCTTTGACTCCTCAATAGCTAGGATTATAGGTGTGAGTCACTGGCACCTGGCCAGGTGTTTCATTTTTGTGGCGCTGGGGATCAACCCAAGGTCATAGGTATGTACGCTACCACAGAGATACACCCCTAGTACCACAAAGGTCTTTTTATACAATGGCAGAGGTGTCCATCTGGGAGCATCACTGCAGTTAGAGGTGGCAGCTGGAGAACAAAGATGCTGATGTTTCCTCCTTGCTTTGTGGTATAGGATATGGAAGGAAGGACACAGGACTGTTTTCTTCAGAACTGAGTGGATTTTAATAAAGGTCAGCAGGAAAAAGGAAAATGATTAGGGCAGAATATGAAGCAGTGGAGTTTCATTTATTGGAGGAAAGGGCTCCAGAGATGACAATGGAGAGCTTTAGAGTATAGAAGATGGTTAGGTATACACTGGTTGTCTAGCCAGTCACCTCTTTTTCTGTAATTGCATACATTTTCCTCACAGTATGCATGCAACCCCATGTAGTTCACACTGTTTGAAGGTGGCTGCTTCTGGCCCCAGAACTCCTGCTTGGCACGTTGTGAGAGACAAAGGGCTCATTCCCTTTAGCTGCAACCGAGTGCTTGACTGTCGCTGGCAGCCATCCTATGAGAAAGAGTGCAATTTGAGTTCTGCTGAAATAAACAATGTGAATGGTAGAATAGAGAGGAA